TGAGAAACATAAGCCGTCATAACAATAGTTTTGTAGGTAACATTCTTGAGATTAGTCGCATAACGGGTTTATTTTTTATGTGTGTGTGTAACGGGAAAAGGAGGGGGGGGGAGGTTATGTCATAGGCAAAAAATTTTATCAATAGTCTAGGAACTGTTGCAAGGCTAAAAATATATGTTCTTATCATAATCTCATAATATATTGTTTAAAGTCAATTAGCACTCACTGAATCCCAAGATCTTGCAAGCAACTGCCAAGATTAATTGAGAAACTTTCTAGCTATAGTTTTTGTCGATGGTGTTTTCAGTGCTCAGTCATTCTTAAGAACGTCATTTTTTAAACTTTTTTTTTTATATCTAACCAAACAGTTTGAGCAATTTAGCCTTCCTTCACCGTCAATCACTTCAGTGCTGGTCGCGAATACCTGCTGAGAAAACTTTCTTACAGTGTGGTCAAGCTATTTGAATAAGCTTTTCAAAACGTATATATATATATATATATATATATATTATATATATATGTATATATATATATATATATATATACAGTGCTTTTTTTGTAAAAAAATAGGTGCCGGTACTCAGTGATGGATTGCCTAACTTTTAACTACCAGTTCGCACCTCGATGCAAGCTAAATCACAGCTGCAAAGATACTAAATGTCTAAAACAATAATAATTAACCAACTTAAATTGTTTTATTATTACTTTATTAGTATACCGCATACATTTGTTATGATTTGTAAAATTGAAATAGCTACTTATTTTACGAGTGTGCGGAAAGCAGTTTCGCATTTTATATTTTAATACTTATTGCGCGCAATTTTAAAATAATTCAATTTTAATAAATTAATAATATAATAAATTAATAATAAAAGTTAAAATACAAGAAAAGTAATAATTTTCCCCCACATTGAAAAAGGTGCCGGTACGCCGTACTGGTGCGTACCGGCACAAAAAAAACACAATATACATATACATATTATATATATATATATATATATATAAATTTGTATTTAGTCAACGCTGAGCAAAAGCAAGTCTAGCACGAAGCGGTTAGTAACTTTGGGGTTCAGAGTCTTGGTGGGTTGTCTTGCTTGACGCTCCAGATGGCAAAGGAAAAACTTTTTTTTTTTTGGTCCCTTAAATTGTTCTGTAGCTTGCTAGCGTACTAGAAGACAAAAAAAAAGTTCTGATCCTTGTGAAGCAGTTAAAGTGGTGGTGGTGGCTAGAAAGGGCTTTGACCAAATAATCTGATCGTTAGTTGACCTACAACTCATGACTAGCAATATCTATTCCTTCTCAGTCAATCACCTTGACTAATTTGCTTCACTTTAAGTTTTCCTTTTTTATTACATTTACAATGTTTAAATATTTCATAAAAGGTACTCTATATTCATTCTCTCACACACCGATCCAAAGCAAGGGTATTCAGCTGGAAAGAAATTTTTTCTACTTATAAAAGAAAAAAAAAATAACAAAGACATATATCGTATGTAAAAAAAAAATATTGAATATTCTTTTTCTTAGTATTTATAGTTTAAACAGAGAATAGGACGTCAGTCTACGTCATCTTCTGTGCTCTACGTTTCTATGAGCGGCATAAATCGTGTGCTGCCTTATGCATGCGTCGACATTCTTGGTCCCATTTGACACAGCTTCAGGCAAAGTATTCTAATTAATATCGAAACCCTTGTCATGTTAGGCCAAACTCATGCAGATTTTTTCTGCACTTGCCTCCACGCAAAAACATTTCATGATTGTCAACGTAACAGACATAGATTAACGGCCTGGTTAAACCAAGGTCAGAGCCATGTTTCTCGATTAAACCGAATGAAGTGGTCGTCAAACCGCGGCTCTGGACCATTGGTGCGGACCTTTAAAGGAACAGCTTGGGCTCTTCTTTTAATACTATGTTATAATGTTATGTTATAATGTTATGTTATAATGTTATGTTATAATGTTATGTTATAATGTTATGTTATAATTTTATGTTATGTTATAAGGCTATGTTCTGATGCCCGCGGATCACAAAATATACGAGATATATAGTATAATTTTTTTTTTAATTCGCTCCTCGCTCAATAAAATGTGCAGACTAAGCCGGGAGGCCATGGTCAGAGTATTCTCACAAGAAAGTATTAGATCCCATACCAATATCCAAGTGACGGGTATTGAAAATGTGACCGATAACACCAGACTTATTCTTCACGTACCAAATTCAAGTGGCGGTTATAGAAAATGTGACAGAAAGCACCAGACTTATTCTTCACGTACCAAATTCAAGTGGCGGTTATAGAAAATGTGACAGAAAGCACCAGACTTATTCTTCACGTACCAAATTCAAGTGGCGGTTATAGAAAATGTGACAGAAAGCACCAGACTTATTCTTCACGTACCAAATTCAAGTGGCGGTTATAGAAAATGTGACAGAAAGCACCAGACTTATTCTTCACGTACCAAATTCAAGT